CGATGTCCGGGGTGTAGAACTCACAAATAGCTCCTGTCAGATCGGTAAGGCCATCTAGTGTGAACCCATATTCTATAGCCTGGAAAGTTTTCTTGCACCTGATCACGAGAATACGAGACAAATGATGTTCATCCTTCATACATGACAATAGTTTGAATTATTAGAATAAGAAACACACACACACACACACACACACACACACACACACACACACTTGCAAATATACTAAAGCACATTAAACACGCACCACCTGTGTAATTCAGGAACATAGTGTGAAATGTAAATATAAGTGCTAACAGGTTTACATATTTTGAATAATTTAAAACTTTCCTTTGAATCCATGCTGCTGAATAATTTGTACTCTTGATTATTATGAAATTCAGTGCAATCTGTGCAGGCAAGGAAGAAAACCAAAAACGCAGCGAGTAATTTAAAAAAATCATTCTCACTATCCTCACTATCTGATATGTCTGCAATAAGCTTGGCAATGGATCCACATGGGGGGCACACGATTCTGAAGAAAATTCCCATGGAACAAGTCTCATTCACGTATAGGAGCAGCTTCCATCTGTTTCAGATTAACTGTAGGTTTTTGTCTGTAGACTGCGTCAAGTCAAAGGATAGGTTGAATCTGCTCTCGTCTGTGAATAGGACAGCATTCTACTACTATAGTCTGTGAATAAGACAGCACAGCATTCCAGTACTATCGTCTGTGAATAAGACAGCATTCCACTACTTTCGTCTGTGAATAAGACAGCATTCCTTTACTTATCGTCTGTAAATAAGACAGCATTCCACTACTATCGTCTGTGAATAAGACAGTATTCCACTACTATCTAGTACATTTGACATGTTGTTTCTGCCCACTGCAGGCGTTGTTGACGATGAGTTAAATCTGGCCCTACATTTGGTGGTCTTACAGTAAGGCATGTATGCCTAGGTGGTCGCTCGACTGTCATTCGATAGACTTACCCATGTCCACTCACTTCTGTTGTTTCTCTTTGAAGTGCCGAAAAAAACATTTCCTTAGGTGACGCAGCACAATTTGACTATCTTGCGCAGGGGTAGTAACTCGTGTTTGACCACTCAGACATCTATACCGGGCAGTGCCAGTGGTTCCGTAACGTTCATTGGGGCATACAATAGTGCTGTGGTGGAAACCATTCTTCTGGCACAGGCCGGCGAACTCATTCGGGTTTATGAATGGCTCGTTGACGGTTGTTTTAAGATTGTGGCACTATAAGCACATGTACTTTGTGTCTTTTCTCAACTGCTTTTTTTAACGACTATATTGTCACAACACCTACATATCATCAGGGTTAAAGCTGCTGGAAATCGTGCCGCCCCCCCCCCCAACAACCTATTGTAGCGGTGAGCGTTTTTAATGTGCTTCAGTGTGTATGTGTGTGTGTGTATATATGCATATGTATACATACATACACACACAAATATATATATGTATATATGTACACAATTTAGCATGCTCCTCTGGGTGTCCAGTTACCAAGTGATGTTAATAAGAGCAACGTGTACAAAGGTTCTCCAGTCCTTCGGCACAATCAAAGGAGGCTAAATGCCCGAACTACAATCCCATGCTAACGTGCATGGGATAAGTCTTGTATCTTGTTTGTTTTGTTTTTCGTCATCGAGACTACCCCAGCCGTGAATCGAACCAGTTTTAGCGCTTGCAGATGCAGACATTCTAATTTCTGAGCTGCTCCGTTGACTTATCCCACTCAGCTATCTTCTTCTAACACCCCCCCCCCCGCCCCTGCCCAGCTACCCTTTTTTTGCTTTTGTCCGTGGTTGGCAGGGGGCGGGGCGGGGCGGCCAGGTAATGTTCGCCTTTTTTCTAATTTGTAGAATTAACCAATTAATGCCATAGCAGGAGGACCCGTGACTGACATTTATTATGAGCTTTTAATGTTGACATTTCATCTGAAGAATCTGTTGGCATAATTATAACCTTTATCTTCTGGCCGATTCTACAGAACAAACATTATGTTTATGTTAAAAATGGCGTCGAGACCGATCTAGATAACAACCCATTCAGTTCTGTTGAATGAAGTGAAGAACTAACATTGCAGCACTGGAGATATTCCCATATAAACTCCACCCACGTCTTCAGCAGCCAGCGCCTAGTTCTAATTACGATGTTTCAAGTCTGACTATTTGACCGTCTTGCCTTTCCTCTGAGTATTAAGTGTCGGCCTGCTCATTCCCTGCTTGCACTATTCTTTCCAGACCGTTATAATCAATTTGTGATTCTGCCCAGTTCACTCGCTCCCACAGAACCCTAACATTTAGCTTGTCGTGCATTGATTTACCACCAAGTGGTGCTGAACCCATTTGATGGGTGTTGTGTGTTTTAAGAAGGTTCTTTTAGTAGGACATTCAATTGGAGTCGCAGACGAGTTGGCTCGAACTAGGTCTGTTGCAAATCAGCGCCGTGGTCATAAGGTCGAGTCCTCTTCGTGACAGATTGTACTCGAAAAATTGACACTTGATGATTAATGTTAGTAATATCATAATCTTTATCATCATCGTCATAATCATCACCATCATCATCGGATTGTCTGCTGAAAGAAGAACTTACTTAGCGTAGGCCTTTTCAACCAAAGGGCCCCACATTTCACAAGAGCTGCCCAGGGGCTTACAGAACAAGGGCTCGTCATCCAGCATTGGTAAGTAGTCGTCTACTACAATGTCCACCCATTCTCCAAATCGCCATAGATTGAAATGGAAACATCCTGTAGGAAGACAAACATAACAAATTTAAAGGCAAATGAGCCATCTCGGTGCAGTTGGAAAGTTTCCAAAGTTTCACCGAAGCTACGGGGTTCGTGTTTTCTGCGCGCTCTCGGCAGGCGACCATCCGTTCTGTGGAGAGAGACGAGCCATGTGGAATAAAACCTGGCAAAAATAAAGCCGATCTTCCCGACTTTAACCTCTAACCTTTCAACAATCTAGATCAGGCCATTTCGTCCAATTCTGTCACAGATAATTCTCAGAAATGTCAGTGAGTTATCTTGTGCTCTTATCTAGTGTGGGTTCCGGCGCCCCATTGTGGGCGTCAACAAAAATCTGACCCACTGCCCCCCTAATAAACATGTTGTAAGTGTTGACTGATTGGCTATACTTTATTCCAAGTCTAAGTGCATACACCTGGGAGGTAAGGAACTAACAGTCTGCATCACCATCATCGTGTAGCAGGTCTTTGCAGAACGTCGCTTTCATCACAGTCTGCCTGAAAGAAACTCGGTCTCATCATAGTGTGCCTGAAAGAAACTCGGTCTCTGGCCAGCTCTCTCGCCTCATGTACTTTCTTACTCAAGGAGTCACTTATATTCTGTGCCCATCTTCCTGTCAGTCCGCCCCTGCCCCTTCTTCCTAGTACCATGCCTTCAGCTATATTTTTTTCCAATCCGTCGTGGCGTTTGATATGACCAAAAAATTTCAGCTTCAGAGACAGTCTGCATACACACATACACAAAAAGCTAGATCTGTAAAACGGATGCGTACGCAAAACTAAGGTTCTGGAACAAGACTACAGTCCAAAAATGGATGATCAACCAGAACTTTCCACCGGAGTTTCCAGCTGGTGAACGAGAAGAAGAGGAAGATATTGATCACATCACCCACGCCTCGCCAGTCCACTGACCTACAGACATATGGGTCCAGCACCTTATGCTAGATGTGTTTATTACTTGACCAGATGATTTTACTTCTTCATTATCATGGCTTAACTAGTGCGCTCGAGCACGCATGCTTGTGTGTGTATATATATATATATATGTGTGTGTATGTGTGTGTGTGTTAAAAATCAGGGTACCCCAGTATTGTCACTGTTTAAACAAAAAAATCAATGTATACTGTAATGATAAAAATAGTAAGTAATATACAGATGCACATCGCATTTATTATATGAATAACAAGAGGGAGTGTGTGCGTGCGTGGGCGCGGGCGCGATTTATAACTCATACTTTTAAACGCATTTCACAAGAGCAGCGACACGGAAACAATGATGTCGGAAATACACGTTCAAGATTAAGACCTCAAAATATCTTAAAGGTCGAGGGTATGTTAGCGTGCGCGCGCACACACACGCTCAGACAGATAAAAGGGAGTTAAAAATAAAACGAAAGTAAAACACAACAACAAAAACAAAAAAGTTTTAAAAACAAAACTGGAAAGTGTTCATAACCATTTAAAAATTTTAACCGCACTAAAATAGTCTGAGACGTGATAATTTTGTGGATTTCGATTTGTCCAAGCAATGCAGGATCCGAGAAGATTTATAAACAAGCCCTAGCTATTACATTCTTCGACAAAATCTTGTGAACACCTTCAGAAAGAATATAACAAAGCTGTTGTTCACCAAATAATTTTCAAACACACTAGGAGCTAAATACCCCTTTCAACAACAGTAAAACGACACACGATGCAATAATAATATACACATTTATTAAGATCTCAGCTTTCTCCAAAAACGAATCTAACATCACTCACTGGCTGTCTTCTTTTGTCAATATCTGCTCATGCCGCTCGGCATCGCAGTTCATCAGACGATCGGCAGTCGAGCCAGAGTGCTGCTTAGTTACATGATATGCCCTGATTTTATACAGTCTTAAGGTGTCAGTGACTTTTCAATCCATCGTTTATTCGGTCTTCCAATGGTTTTGGTGGTTAGATTTTCAGGTTGTAAGCTCTTGCTGCTGGCATCGTTAGTTTCATTCTTAATAAATGGCTAAACCATTTCATTTTTTGTTTCTCAATAAATTGGACGATATGGATTGTTCGAACCGTTCTTGTGATCATTACTGGCTGTAGTGTAGTTTAATTAGACACGTTTACGTTCAGTAGTTTGCCATAGCATCCTGAAGGATGAATTCCATGGTCAAAGTTGCAGCGATCGGATCCTAATTTGTAAGAATTATGACACTGCGTTTATAACCTCTAAGCTACAGACATATACATCTTATGTTACAGACAGCGAATACAGAGAAGCTTGACTCACCAGTGTAAGAAGTGTCGAAATTCTGCTCGCTTCTTCTGAAGCCAGGAATCAAACGTTCTAATGCCCGGACATGTAGCGACACAACCACCAAGGCTGCCTGAAGCCACCCGCGTTGCTTCCAAGAGTTCCAGGGAAACAATTGATCACAGATCCCTCCAACTCCACTCAGTATGGGCTGATCTGTTATCTCCTGTAGGAGTTCACAATATCAGTTTCAGAAGAAAAACACATTAACATATGATTTGGGTTAAATTCACAAACTAAACTAACATAGCAAGCATGAACACAGACATAAATCTGTTCTCTAGTATTTTATACATCGTAGTAAGCTAGGGTTGGGGACTGTGGATTAGGTATTTGGAACGTTCGGGAATGCGGGAATGCCGGGTTCGATCCCACTACATGCTACTTGGCAGCAGACCGTCTTGAGTTGGTTTCCACTGTGCTACCGAGATCGAGTGGCAATGGCGAACTGCTGAAATTATATTTGTCTATAAAAACCGCAACAACTAAAAGAATGCTTGGTTCTGCCACTTCATGTAAAGGATAGGCAACTTACTTTTTTTTTTTTAATTGAAAAATGTACAGGCATCCGATTTTTTAAAAAGTATGTGGAAGCTCAGAAATGTAGTTTTAAAAAAGCACTGGGAGAATACCAAGAACGGTTAAAAAGCGAAATAAAAATGTCCGAGGAGAAATTAACTGACCATAAATACTGATTACCCGCCTTTGGAGACAACATATATTGTTGGGCATATCAAAAGAAGGGGAAAATTTGAGTACGCAGTGTCGACATAACAGTTAGATGGGAGAAATTATGAAGGAGACCACGGGAATTTTGAATATTAAATTAGGAATGGATATCATAGCACTCGGGACACTCCGATAAGCGCTCCGTCCCTATTTTCAGCAGCAAACGAAGAGTTCCAATTCCGATGGTACCAGACAGTGTCTGATTGTATATCCGTCTGGCCTTTCCCTTGAGTGTTGAGCATCGGCCAGATCCCCTGGTAACTCCTCGCAGGGCCATTCTTCTCAGACCGTAATGATCTATTTGCGCTTCTACACTGTTCACTCGCTCTCAGAGGGCTCTTACCATATCTAGCTTGTCATAAATGAGTTCACCACCAGGTGGTGCATGTGACGAAACGACCTCAATGTTTTTGGAAGTTAGTACGTGTAATAACTTCTTCTGTTTATAGAGAGACAGAGAATTATATTTGCAATGCCCTAAGCCCGAATATTACTAAAATCACATAGGATTTTAAAATTGTTAAAATTGTATCCAGTTCTTAGTTCAGACAAAGCAACCAAGCTTGGGTTAATATTACATAACACTACCTAATATAGCCAGCTGGTCTACCTGGGAAAGTTCAGGCATAGTGGCTGTATGGTTTGTAGAACTGAAGTGTCATATAATTATCTCCTGACCAGAGACCCTTAGCAGCAGGCAACTGCTCATAAACTAATTATCTCCACTGAGATTATCTTCCTTGAACCAAAGAGTTATAAAATGGTTACTTAACCGGCCAGATTAGACCCTTTCAACAGATAAGACAAGGGAAATTAACTCAGTCGAATAGGAAACACAATGGCTTCCCTGACCGTCTTTTCACACCTGCCAGTGACACGGTCTGGGACTAGATGTTTACCACCTAAGAATGCAGAGAGAAGCAGAAGAAACACAGGCAAATACGATAGCCTAACAACGCAGGAGTGGCAGAAGGCAAGGGGGTGACAGCAGACAAAGAGAAAGCCACGTACAAAACTCAGCAGAAATAGAAAGGGCCGACACAGACATATGCAAAACAAACACAGGCGAACTCCTACTCGGCCAACAGAGAAGCAGTGGCTGCACCAGCAGGAAGCAAGGCACCACCCTAAAAAAAAAACAAACAAAAAAAAAAAAAAAAAAACCCCCCAAAAAAAAAACCACCTCAGCAGGGCCGACAAGCCACAGTCACTGAAGCGATAGCGACCAGGCACAGGCGCAAAAAAAAAAAAAAAAAACCCCACCATATGCAAAGATCAATACACTGAAACAGAATATGCAAAGGCAGAACTTCCAGCGCAGCTAACAGATGAAGACCAAGAATGCATGAAATTCGAAATGCCAGATCTCGTCACAGATGAGGAAATGACACCAGCCTATATCAAAGACTTGGAAGGACTCATGAACGAGTTGATATACCCTAACCATGGAGAATGGAGGAGTTAAGGCGTTTGGCGCCTAACAGAATATGACGAAGAAAGTGACTTCAACAACCCAGAACTGAACGATCCAGAACAATACGACGGACATAGGGAATTTCAAGCCAAACTCCTCGCAGAAATGCAAAGAGCGCAGAAGGTCCTTAACAGGAAAAAGACACCCAGCAATGGATGGAGCCAGGCGAATAAACAGAAACAACAACGCCGACCCAAGAACTGTTAAACATACCAGCGACCACACAAGCAGAAAACCGCAACCAATAGAAACCACGCAAGCCGCCATGACAGCTCGCGAAACCAGCCCACCGGAACGGAGAAAAACCCATTGCCCGCGACCAGCAGGCATGATGTCGACCATCAAATCTACTCCCACCCTACCCCGATCAACACAGCCCCAAGCAAACTCTATTAGTCCTTTTCAGGACTAGTAGGCTCCCACACCCAATCACAGCCAGTATAGCAGATATACGCAAGGAAACCACTTCAAGACGTGAACCAACGTCGCAATTGAAAAAAACTATTGAAAATCCCAAGCAAGAAACCGCAGTCCCAACATACCCGCCGCTCATTTTTGGAGCTGGTTAGGGCGACTAGAACTTTTTTTTTTTTTTTTCAAACGAACTGGAACCGAGTTTAACTTTGCAAATAGATAGGTACCTATGCTGCTAGCATCTCAAATTTACTTGATAGTGCTGACAGCAAGCCACAAATTAAAATCAACAGTAGAATGTAATTCTAGCTAGTTGAGTCCTGTGTGGCAATTGCTGGAATGTTCCCACATATGATTGTATATATATTTTTAAATCTTTTATTTATAGGGTTTTATTTATAGGAGCTAGTGCAGCCTACTATTCCTTTCCTGATGTATCTAATTTAACATTCTGCATGAAATAGTTCTTTGTGAGCATTCAGTTATCTCAGTTAGGGAACTGCTAAACTATTCCTATTTCTTGTATGTTTGTATCATATGTTTTTCAGTGTATGTTTTCATGCGTATAAAACGAGACTTGCATAATTAAATGTAATGAAATTATATTGTGTCAATTATCAACCCAAAACATGTGCCTGGGCTGTGGGAAAATCATGCCCACATATGCAGCCACGTGTTTGCGTTTTGATAGCTCACCATGTGCTCACTGTCACTGGAAAGATAATATTCCGGACAACATGCCCATATAAAATGGTTTGGGTTTTCAGCACATAACCTGCTCCGCGTATTCATGTAAAACAATGTCACCCAATTTAGGACGCTGAATGAAGACGGACAGCAGACTTAAGAAGTCAACTATCATAACAGAACATGAGAGGGAAGGCAGGATATGTTAGACGTCAGTGTGAGACATAAGATCTTCAGACTAGACTGGAGAGAATGTTGAAGATGAGGAGGAGAGATGTTATATATATATTGCATTGGTATATGTATGCTTAGTGTAAGTATAGATACTACACGTATGTTTGTTTCACAGCTCCCATCGGGGTAAAGACCAGTCTGCTCTGATTGCAGAACCATAGGGTCACGTGCACGAACCTACACTGTGGGAGATCGGCAAGCTGGGAACAGGCAGCAAAGGAGGGGGAACATGCTGGAAAGGAGCTAGAAAAGGTGGAAAAGCTTTGGATATCCAAGACTTTGACTGAGATCAACATAGCTCGGATATTAGTCCAGTTTCTCTGGTGGAGGTAAAGTGTTAAGAGGATAACTCCTACTCATCACAACAGCATCTATCCACTTCGAGACCCGCGATAGTGCGGCCAGTCTATCTGCCTGCTCATTTTCCAAAACACCGGCATTACGTGGAGAGAAAATCCAAAAGGCTGCTAACTACACGGAACCTCTGAAGTGACGCTTGCCAAGCTACACGGAGAATACCTGTCTCCACATTTCTCAACATGCTTTGTAAGTCAGATACAATCAGGGCATGTGTGTACATGTGATTCTCAAGCCAGTGGAATGCAACAGTGACGGCCTCCACCTTTATCTTCAACCTAGACGTTGTGATATCATAACCAAGGTAACAATTCTGAAAAGTTTGATATTATAGCAAGGATGGACACCTGTATCAGACATTACTGACAGTTCACGAGACAGAAGGATGTGGTCAGATATATCGCCACATGGTATGAGCTATAACTAAAAAACAAACGTGAAAATAGAAGAGTTAGCAATAGGCATGTGATGACAGATAATGACAGCATTAAAGTTGAAGTAGAGCTCAGGAATGACCAACAATATTTTCAACAAGAAAAGATAAATCATTACTATCTAGAGAGATAAACAATACACAAAAATGAGAACTGTCACCTGTATACCCGGTGATGGCAACGTTCTGTCTTTTTAGACGATAGTGGTATATTGTGCTTTAGGCAGGCATAGGACTCACGGCCCATGGCGATGTCGAGTGTGACTAGCAAATCACGCTCACAGAACTGTATGGTCAATTCCTACTATAACCGGGCAGAAATCTCGACTAATGTATACACTATTGGAAAGACAAAAACTTATATGGAGACGTGGATGTATAAGAATCTTGACCATGTGTATATAATTGAAAAGTCAAAACAAGACCTGAAGAGGTGGAGGCATAAAAAAAAAAAAAAAAACTGCATTTCAATGGAACAAAATCACAGAGGTTTTGGAGAGAAGTTCAGAGGAAATATTCATAGAAAGCATTAAAAGCACACGAAAAAGAAGTGGACAGACCGGGCGACAAGTGCCACACGGCACGCATTAGAAGAAGAAGAGAGAAGAATGTTAATGATAAAATGACAACAGCATCGGCAGGAGCTAGCACTCGTGAATGCTAATCCAATGGTCATAGGCTCGAATCTCCGGAGGCGAATTTATCAGATTTGACATTAAGTTTCAAAGTTGAGGAAGCCTAAAAGCGAGTACCAGGAATAGTTCTTAAAAAGTAAAGACACCAGTTGTACTGTTATTTTAATTGTCTGGTTGTGAATCTCTATCGGTAACGATGTTTG